CTTGAGGGTTTATTTGGCCCACAGCTGGCACACTGAAAGCACCTGATGTATACCCAATAATAAGCAAAAGGCCCGCTGCGGGCATGGCTTTGTCCAGCCAAAGCTAGGGCAGGCCTTTCTGGAGCTGACTTCAGACTTGGCCTGGTTCCCATTAGAGAAGAGGGAATACTGCCTGGAGAAACTTCATCCACGGTGACCCCGAGGGTCAGGTTTGTGTCCACTTGACTGACCACCAGGAATCTGTTCAGATCTTACTTCCACTCCTTTCCCAGCAAGAGACCTGCTGTCCCCGGTTCCTGGAGGAAAGAGCTGGAGACAGAGTGAGCAGCATGGAAAGCTTTACTCAGAGAAAGAGAGGGGTACAGAAAAGCACAGGCAGAGACAAGAGACTGAGTAACCGACACTCAGGCCTCGAGACCAAGACCAGCAGACCAGGGACAGAGCCTGCAGGCCAGGGATTCAAAGATGGAGAGCTGGGTGTGGGGCATGTGGGGGGCAGCAAATCCAGAGCATGTCTGAGGGCCCTCAGCTCTGCCTGGGCTCCCACCACAAACCTGAAGGTCATCCTTGTTCACTCCTTAAGTCTAGCCATTAGGCAAGACTTGTCCATTTTCCTCCTGAAAGATCCCTGGAATCTGCCCAACCTCCTCCATCCCCTCATCCCCTCTGGATGAATGCAGCGGCCTCTGGCTTTTCCTGCCTCTTGCACTACCCCTGACCCCATCTGCTAGCCAACAGGAAATTTCTAAACACATATATGAATATTTCACCCTCAAAGCCCCCAGAAAAAAGCCCAGGTACCTTTCCTGCCTGATGTGAGCCCTGCACATCACCTGAGCCTTAGCTCCAGCCATCGTGGACTTTTCCCAGTGTGTTCTGGGGCCCTGCGGCTGTTCTCACTCCCTGGACACTCACACTGCATTGCCCTCTCCTCAACCCTGTCCTTACTTTACCACCTCACTTTGATCTCAATGTCATGGGTTCCTTCCTAGGGACAGCCACTCCCTTACCTTCAGAGAACTTTCACCCTTGTCCCTGCCCACCCTGGAGCTCCACCCAAGGTTCTACTAGAGACGCCAGGCTGCCCTCACCAGTACCCGTCTTTCTACCTGCTCCTGTCCTTGGCTACTCAGTCCAGGCTCACCAGTCCCTGTCCAGGCCCTTAGGCCCTTGGCATTCAGTCTCCAGCCCCTCACTCTATGAACTTCTTTCTTCCCAGGATTATGTTCCTTCCTGCATTTTCCATTTGTCTTTTGTCTAATGGCTGGCATCTGTCCCCAGGTCACTGGGCTGCCTTATCGCCATTTGCCATTCATAGAGAACCCAAAGTGCTGTCCAGCAGGAGCCCTGAGCCTGGCTGACTTGTGTGAGAGTGTTAGTTAGTCCAGCCCCCTAACCCTTGCTTCTGACAACTGTGAGTTCTCCAGTGTCTAACACATCAAGCTAGTGTATATGGATGGGCTTGCAATACATTTTGTTGAATTTATATAATTTGTCGATCTTTTCCTTTTGTAATTTCTGGATTTTTTTTAAACCAATTTTAGGCCTTTCCCATTCACAATGAAAAATATTTATCCCTATTGTTCTGGTACATTTATTTATGTGTAATTTTTTTTTTATAATTTGAGGCATTTTCATATGAAAATGAATGCAAGAATGTGTTTTGCTCTAATGTCTAATCAGCTGTCCCAGTAGTAATTCTTGAATCTTCACTTGTCTGTAAAAATCAAGATATTATCTTAGCTAAGATTCAGTGAGGTATTATGCAATCATTTAAAATGGCAATTACAATGATTATGTCGCCGTGGAAAAAATGCTCATCTTATCATTTTAACCTTTGATTTTTATAGCTGCATTAAAACTTTATCAGCATATAGGCTGGGACAGATTGCAATTGAGAGAAATGAATAAATTTAAAGAGTGTGATGGAACTATGGATGAATTATTTTTCATCTGTGAGTCTCTATAAAATAAATCTATTGAAAGTTTAAATGAATAGAATATAGAGGAAGGAGTTAAATTAGTGAGCTAATTTCTTGAGCTGAAACAAAAACTTGGCTGAAGACAGGTTTTTCGGGGGAGGTAGGACGACCTCAAGAAGCTGAAGACTGGAGAATGCAGGTAAGGGGAAACTTACTGTGGGCTCCCAGGTTACCATTATTGCAGGAACAGTCAAACAGGAGAGACTGTATGAAAACCACTTCCTTTGGCTCTGTATCCCTAAACTCTGGGCTCCTTCCCAGCCTTATCTGAGTAGCAGAACCACTGTATGTTTCCTACCCAAAAGAAATCCAGGTGTCAAGCACATGGATGGATGAATCCAAACATTCCCATACCTGCCCTTGCTAATGAGATGCTTCATCCACCAGACACCAGGACTGCTTATGTCTAGTTCTACACTAAGAATTAGAGGAGAAACACATTCCCCAACACAGCTGTCTCTGGAAGGCCCCTCTCTAGCTCCTAAGAATTCAATAGTTTTTAAAGTTGAATCCAGAGAAACTTTTTTTTAAAAGATTTATTTATGCTTACAGAACTGGGGTACAGGCCAGAGGTGTGGTGGGTGAGAGGATTCACCAGAGACAAAACGGGGAGCAGAACAGGCAGATCAACTAAGTACACTGCTGAGGGGAGCAGTGGATGGGTCAGGAGAGTTTTGCCACACCATGTGGGTCAGCTCCCTGATTGGGGATCGAACTGGTGCTGCAGTGGCCTCAGAGAGCTTCATAATTCGGTGCTTTAACTCACGAGGAAGAGCCCAATGCAGAGAAACTTTTAATTTGCTAGCCCTTGGACCGACCACAAACGTGAAGAGCATCAGAAGTTGGGACAAGGAAATTGTGGCTGCCACAGAGTCCTAGTCTGGTTCTATGCTTGGGAGGTCGGGCAGGGCTCGCCTGTACTACTCAAGGGCTTGCCTTGCTAGCCACAGGGGACTTCACACGACTTTAGCTGGCTACCCCCAAAGACACTTGACCCCCAAGGCAACTGGCACTTGCCCAGAACCAGGAAGGTCCAGCTTTGGATTTGGGAATAAAATACCTACAAATACCTTGCCTAACAATTGCTTTTTATAGCAGCTCCCCTGAAGCGCTTTCTCACCTTAGTCACAGGAGCCTTGCCCCAGGGCTGTCTACAGCAATGGCACCCTAACCCTGATGCACCTGATGCAGTCCAGGGCCATGCGCGGACTGCCAGCGGGGCTCCCGGGAGTTCTTCAACGCTTTGAAGAGGCTCGCCGATTCCCCCGGTGAGCAGGCGCCTAGCTGCAGCAGGCAGACTCCAGACAGGTGGAGCTGTGAGGAAGATCCCACCCGCCTCACCTGTGGATGCCACGACGCAGCTGAACTTACGAGGCCTGAAATGCGCGCGCAACCCGGTAGGGGCGGCATGCGCTCTACGCGGCAGCCCGCCCACTCAGCCCTGCCCACAGCGTCACGCCCGCGGCCGCGCCCAAGTTCTCCTGATTGGTGGAGAGGACGGGCGAGAGCGCCCGCTCCGCCCAGGACACGCCCCCCGCGGTATTGCCCCGCCCCTGGTCTACCGGGCTGCCAATGTGGCTTCCAAATTGGAAATGAAGGCGCGGGCGCGAAAGGACTGACCCTCTGAGGCTAAGAAGCCACTTTCAGTCTAGCCCGCGCCCTGGCCGTCGCCCCACTTATGAAACACAGTCCCTTCCCAGCTCTTCCCGTCACAAGCCAAGTCTTCGACGGGCTCTCCCGGCCCGGTTTACTGCAGAACACTCGGGAATGTCCAGGCCCCCTCGATGGCCGCACCTCCCTCGTGCCAAAAGTCCGTCGTCGAGCCCACGCAATACTGATACGGATTCCGCTGGCACCCCAGCCTGGGGTCTCCAGCCCCAGCTGAAACCCCCTTCCGAACCTCGATCACTCCTGGACCCCGAAACCCAGACCCTCCGGGATTCTCCACACCACCCGCTGCCCTGTGCACCCCCGATTCTCTCCGAATCTTCTCGCCCGGGTTCTTCGTCACGCCAGCACTCCGGGGTCCCCTGCGGGCCATCACGGAGTCAGGGGCCCTAACCTCCGCACACCCTGCTCTCCGAGCCCGCGCTCCTGACTCTTCGGCGTCCGCATCCGGATGCTCCTTACCCAATGTCCCCCAAAAGACACCTTCACTGGACCCTCTCCCCATCTCACACCGTACACCCCTCCGAACCCTACACACACACGCGGATCCAAGCCAGTCCCCCTTCGCGCCCCTCACCCTATTCTTCTGCCAGACTCCTCCCCACTTCCCTTCACCCCAGCCCCTCACCCCACTCGCCCCGCGCCCCAGACTCTCCCCATACACCCCAGGCCCTTCACGTCTACCGCCAGAACCCTTCTGGAATCCCCTACATCCCAAGCCCGTCCCCCCCCCCATTACCCAAAACGCCCAAACCCGCGGCTCACGCCGCTACCCCACCCTCCACTCACCGCCTCCGCCTCACCCCGCACCCCTCTCCCCCAGGGCTGGCAGGCC